ATATATATATATATATATATATATATATATATATATATATATATATATATATATATATATATGCACATCAATTTTTTAGCATATACATGCATGCATGCTTGCATACATATATCGTGCATGCACATCGGTAGTTGTGTTTCTCCTTCATACAAAGGGAGAGAAGACTCAGCGGGGGGTGGCGGGGGTTGATGCTTCAGCCAGCCCCACTGGTGAAGTGTGTATGCACTTGGCTTTGTTTTTTTTTTGTTTTGCCTGTTGGTGTGTGCTGCACTGTCGTCTACCAGTTTACTTGTTTTATCTGTTGTCTGCATGCATGCATGCATGCATGCATGCATGTATCTATATGAGGATAGAAGCGGTTGGTGTGTGGTGTGTTTTGGTGTTTGTGTGTATAGGCGGATTTCTTTGAGTTGTTTTCGTTGATGCTGGGCTCTTCGTTAGATATTCTTCTTTTTGCTGTTATTTTTCTTTTTGGTTTGTTTCACCTTTATCTCCTCGCCAAAGGAATGACAACCATCGAGTTCTGCGAAAAGAGATTCAAACGCACCCACGACCAGCCCCCAGCTGTACGTACACTGCAAGTGCATGCGTAGATGCACAGATGCATGCAGCACCAAAAGGCAGACGAACAACACACAGACAAAACAATACATACACCCACTAACAAACGCACAGACAGGAGGAACCACAAGTTCATGTTTTAAGAGGGAAGGGGAATACAACTACTAACGTAGCCTTTAGTTATATATTCAGGTGTACGTACAGTGGAGGAATTGAGGGTTTCTGTTGCGCTGCTTTTTCTTTGTATTTCAGGATATGTGGAATTTGGGGTTCTGGAGAAATTTCAATGAAGTCTTCGGATATAATCCTCTCCTTTGGTTCCTGCCTATTGGTGAGTTGAGGTGTACAGGCAGCTGAGGTGTACAGGCAGCTGAGGTGTACAGGCAGCTGAGGTGTACAGGCAGCTTGGCGAGTCGGTTTCATCTTTAAGGTTTAAGAGACAGCAGAGAGACTAGTGGAATAAATACCATTCGTTCCTTTTTTTTTTTTTTTTTTTTTTTTTTTTTNTTTTTTTTTTTTTTTTTTTTTTGTTTTTCAGATAACCGTCGCGGGGATGGCCAGCATTTCCTTCTATCTGTGCCCGCCCCAGGCAGGGGCAGGGAGTAGTGTGTTTGTTTACTTCTCCATTTTGCTTCTGTTTTCTTCTGTTTTCATTTTGCTTGCTTTCTCTGTACCGCTTACTGCTGTTTGTCTCCGTTTTTCTATCATCCGCACGCCGCGTGCAAATAGAGAAGCAGCAGGAGGGGTCGTCCTGCTTAGCTCTGGTTGTTGCTGCTGCTGCAGGTGCAGCAGCAGCTACTGCTGCAGCAAGTGCAGCAGCAGCAACTGCTGCTGTGAAACAACGGCGTTAATACTGCTGTTGCTGTTGCTGCATGCACACAGCAGGAGTGAATCACGCTAGTAGATGGCTAAGAAACTATCCCCTAATTGAGGCGGGGCTGAAGGAAATAACTAAAAGGGATTAAACTCTGTTACTTTATTTCATATTTATTTATTCAATATTTATTTATTTTTTCATGTTCATCTCCTCCCCAGCTCTTCTGTAGGCAGAGATAGAAAGGGTCCATACACTGCAACCGATGAAGGGGGTTTAGGGTTTAGGATAAAGGGTTTATAGTCGAGGGTTTAGAATTAGGGTTTAGAGTCAGGCAGTAGCAACGAAGGGTCTCGGATTAGGGTTTACAGCTACAGCATGAGGAGCTCTGGGGCTTTGCATGCACTGCAACGTCTCTACAGCTGAAGCAGATGAATACAAGAGGGGAGAGAAGGGCCTCTGCACTGCTGCGAGCCAACGAGAGAAAGATATGAAAATAAGAAAGGAAACAGAGAAGAAACCAGAGGAACTGTGGAAAAAAAACACACGAGCGTGGAGAGACGAGTAAAGAGGCAAATACAAACTCGTAGATGAGCTGAGAATTCAAATAAGAACGAATGAACTGAAGAGAGATGAAAATGGAGGAAATATGCGGGAGAAGACACACGCAAAAAGAAGAAAAAGAAGTGAGGCAAGCAACGAACTCACCGCAGCAGGATACTACACACGACAGCTATGGGGGTCCACCTCTGTGCATACGAGCTCTCTCAATGCAACTGAAAGAAGTTTTTTAATTTGTATAGTATAAGTTGAACTCAAAGACGAATTATTTCAGGGTTTCACGTGCTTAACTGGTGCAGAAGGCAACGCCCTGCAGCAGCCGCCAGGCATGGCATCGTAAGGAACGGGGGAAAGCGTCTACAAGCAGACTAAAAAAAACGAAGTTTCCAAAGAAGAAAATATTACACAGACGCAAAAGAAAAGAAAATAAGTAGAGGGAGAAACGCATGCAGCGGAGAACCGAAAAAGGGTTCAGAGAGCAACGATCACTCGGTGGACGCCGGCAGTAAAGAATGCGATTTGAAATATCATTTGGCCCTTCTCGTGAACTTCTATGAGAGAAATTAATTTAATTATTCTTTTTTTTAGTTTTTCTGAGAAGAAAGCTTAAGTTTTATATCTGGTTTCCGCAGGTTTATTGAATGGTTCGGTCGCCGCAGTCCAGTTGGTCGGGTGTACGTACACCCCAGCGACTTGCAGCCCGCGATCCTGAATACAAAACATGCGAAACAGTGGAAACTTTTTTGTCGAAAAGGTGAAATTTATTTTCCCAAACAAAAGGTGCTTTGAGCCTCCTTGAAACTCGTGAACTTCTTAGCCCCGCAGCTCTCTGTACTACCGTCGTTGTTCTCAGCAGCAGGCGGTTGGGGGCGGCGCAGCTGTCCGCGTCTTCAGTATTCTCTCGTTTCTGTTTGTCAAGGCCCTGTATACAGGTATTTTGGGATTATATTCCTGTAGGAAAGCATTAAAAGTGGAACTTCTGCTGAGCTGGCCCCAGGTGTACGTACACCTGCCGAGTTCAACTGTCCCGGCGAGCTGCAGTCGGCCGTTTCAGCACAGCACAGTTGACCCCTTTGCGCCTTACATCTCCTCCCAGTTACCCGTTCCATACCAAAGTACTTTTTCCGTTTCTCTTGTCGCTAGCTCTGAACTTCTGCTGCAGCTTTGGCCCCCTCATCGTTGCGTTTGTCGCCGCCTCTGTAGCTGAACAGTCTAGAGGGGAGGCCCGCTTTTGTTCTGCCTGCAACAAACCAGCTGATCCGTCGTTTCCTTCTCTTCTTCTTTCCTTATCATCACTCTCCTCTCTCTGTCGCCTTGTGTTCCCATCTCTACTCCCGCGCTCCGAGAGCAGCAGCATTTCTTCTGCTGCTGCATCTGCCTGCCGCCACTTGGTTCTGTGTCTGTTTCATTTCTCGCTGTATTTGCCGTTCTTCTATCGGCAGTTTCACCACCTTTCTCTGCTGCATCTGCTGCAGCTGCTGCAGCTGCTGCAGTTGCTGCATCCAATGGGTGTTCAGAGCCTGAGCGTTGACCGGGGCCTGAGTGCAGAGCAAAACTATGGGGCAGACAGAGTCAGCTCTGGGGGGAGACGATCCCCGCCGCCAGCTGCGGCCGCGTGGGGTGACCTGCATAGCCGAAGCAGCAGCAACACAGCAGCGGCTGCTGCATATTCCTTTGTTATGCGGGGCAACAACTTGTGTGGATTTCAGTACGTTGCTGGGAGAGGGTAGCTACGGCGCAGTGTATGCGGGTTCTGTTGATAGGAGCACCTGCAGATACACCTCAGAGAACAGCTCTCGTCTCTTATCTCTCTCTCTCGGGTGTACAGACAGCAGCAGCATAGGCACAGACAGCAGACAAACCAGCAGCGGCTCCACGCGCCAGGGCTGTCAGTATTGTTTTTTTGATAGAACGAGACAAGTTGCTGTGAAGGCTCTGCGTCACTCATCCAAGAAGCAGCAGCAGTTCTTTATCAATAGATTCAAATTCCTGCAGCTTATACGGCTGCAGCAGCTCCTCGCCAGCAGCAGCATAGATGCAGATACACCTCAGCCCCACAGTCTAATCCTCTCAGGTGTACATACACCCCAACACAGACACCAACTGCCGGCAGATGTATTCGCTATGCTCTCCGCCACAGCTCATCAACACTGCCAAACACCTGCAGCAGCAAACTCAGCAGCACCTGCAGCAGCAGCAGCAGCAGCGGGAACACCAGCACCCGCAGCAGCAGCAGCAGCAGCAGGAGGAGGAACAGCAGCAAGAGCAGCAGAAGGAAGAGGAGGTTCAGCAGAGTGTGATGATCACGGTGGTTGTTTCCCGTGCAGTTGTTGTCGTTTTCTGCAGTTTCCTAGTTTTGATTCTCTCCACCTGCTGCAGGTGTTTGGGGTGTATGCATGCAGCCGGGTGTCTAGGGAGTTTCTGGTGATGGAGCGGCTCTCAGGGCCCACACTTTTTGAATATTTGTGTACAAAGTACAGCCAAATTCTACCCAAGGAGTGGGAGGCTTGTCAGATCATTGTACCCATACTTAAGGGACTCTGCTGCATTCATCAAGAAGGGGTCAGCATACCTCCTCCTGCTGCTGATGCTGCTGCTGCTGCTGCTGCTGCTGCTGCTGCTGATGCTGCTGCTGCTGATGCTGCTGCTCCTGCTGCTTCGTCTGCTGCTGCTGCTCCTGCTGACGCTGTTCCTGCTGCTTCCTATGCTGCTGCTGCTTCCTTTGCTGCTGCTGTTGAATTGTTGCATCTGTTGTTTAATTTCTTTTCTGTGCTGCTGTAGCTAGCATTGCTGCAGCAGCAGCAGCAGCAGCAGCAGCAGCAGCAGGAAAGCATGGATTGTGTGGTTGTTTTGTTTGTTTGTATGTTTTTTTTTAGTTTATTCATGGGGACGTGAAGCTAGAGAATATAATGTTTCGTTCTGCTGCTCCTCACCCCGCCACACTAACTCTGGTGGACCTAGACGGGCTGACGCCGCTGCCGTGCGCAGCAGCGCGTGCTGCTCAGGCGTATTCAATTGCTGCTGCTGCAGCAGCAGCAGCAGCTCAGCAGCAGCAGCAGCAGCAGCAGAGTGCGGAGAGAGGTATGAACGGTGTAACTTCTGTGGGTCGTTCTGACGCAGCAGCAGCAGCAGCAGCAGCAGCATGCACAACCTCTCTGACTTCCCTATTGAATGGGGAAGGGGGGGCCCTTGAGGGCCTCTGCTGCACCCCCCAGTACCTTCCTGCTGAGGTGGTGAGAGATAGACGGCTCTCTCCCTTTGCTGACCTGCATGCAGTCGGCTGCATCTGCTATCTACTCATGGAGGGATGCTTCCCCCATGAACGCGTCAACCTCAAAAGGCAAGATGCTGCTGCTGCTGCTGCTCCTGCTGCTGCTGCTGCTGCTGCTGCAGTAGCTGTAGTAGTTGTTGTTGTAGTAGTAGTAGTAGTAGGGCTGACAGCAGCAGCAGCAGCAGCAGCAACAGCAGCAGCAGCAGGATGCTCTGATGGTGTTTCCCTTTTCACAAGCATAGTTCAGCTGCTTACATTTGTTGCAACACATTTATTTGCTGCTGCCAATATATATATATATATATATATATATATATATATATATATAT